CAATTCAGGAAGATGATGGTAGATTGGATGAGGGGTTATCAGCACAAAGATGAGAAAAAAAATCAGATTTAGCTTGACCATTGGTCCAGCAGGATCTGCTGACAAATTGGATTCAAGATTGTCATAGAAAGAAGAATCGGGGGTGACTCTAAGGCTTTGTCCTGGCATCTGGAAGGACGGAGCTCCCATCAGCGGACGTGAGGAGGACAGAGGGTGGAGAAGGCCTGACGAAGGTTAGGAGCAGAGCTTTGGAACCTTTAGAACTCTATTTGGAAACAATTAGATATGCCCGTCTCATCCTCAGCAGAGAGATGTGGGCTGCAAGAATTTATTTCAGGGTTGTGGGCATACAAATGTCATTCAAAGCCATGAGAATGGATGAGATCACCAAAGTAATATGCAGAGCAGGTGACAACATATTGATCTCTGGGGCACCCCACCATGAAAAGGTCAGAGAGAAGAACTAGGAAATGAGATTGAGGAGGAGAGACCAAAAGACAGGAGGAAAATGAGCCAGTCCAGGTGTCCGGGGAGGCAGGTGAAGAAATTACTGGAAGGAGGAGGGAATGACCCCGTGTGTGCTAACTGCTGCTCATGGGTCACAGTAAATGAGGATGGAGAGCTGACCTCTGTGCTACCAGTGAGGGAGTGTTCAGGGGTCTTAAAGAGAGATACAGAGGACATGGAAGAAAAAGCCTTATTGGAGTTTATTTAGTTGAAACTCAGGAGAAAGGAATCAGAGTAGATTCCATTTCTTTAAGGAGTTTAGCCACAGAAGAGAAATGAATTGTGCCTGTACCTGCAGGAGAAAATAAGGGCAAGATAAGTTTTCTTTTGAGAGTGGAAGTGGAGGCTTATAGGCTAATTAAAAGATGTATTAGAAAGAGAATTGGAGTGATGGAGTTGTGTGGGCATAAAGGAATGGAATCTAGTATTCATTAGGAGAGCTGGCTTTAATGTTAATCACAGAGAGGTGATGACCACTGATAAGAGGTCAGAATGCAAAATTAGATACGGGTACAGAACTGGTTCATGAAGTACATGCTATAGTGGGGTCTGCAAGTTCGCTTCCAGTGGCTTGAGTCTCTCAGAATGGGAATCAAGGTCATCAACAGAGAGTAAAGATAACAGAAAAGGGATTATAAAGGTGAAATAAAAGAATATAAAGGTGAAATAGCCATCTAGGCAGGAGTGAATTAATAGATTCATAGTGTAAAAGTATAAATGAGTGGATTATTTAGAAGGCACACATAAGAGAGAGTTAGTAATTGTTTAATGAATCACTAGAGGAATAGAATTTATGATTTCCAATTGTGGAACTAGTGGTAGGAGAGAAGACACTCAAAATAATTAGAATTGGTCAAATTTAACAACATATAAAAATCAAGAAGCCTTTGCTAAGCTTTATATTCAGAAAATATTCATAGTCACCATCCCAGTTAATTATTTTCACAGTCGATATGGTTTTCTGATGATCTACCATCAGAATGTGATAGGGAAAAAAATTAGTTTTTTTGTAAATAAAGAAAACTCAGAATCTCAGTTGAATTCACCAACCTCTATAACCCACTATTAATGGTTAATTTATTTTTACTTCTATGATCATAGAAAAATAGGAAAAATGCCATCTTACCGATTGTGTTCTGGCTGCAATAGAGAAAGATCCTGAAAAAATAAACTGAAACAGAAAATGAAGCAGATAAAGGAATACTGAATCTCAACCATTTTCTCCTGGTCCTCCCTTGAATTATCAGACATCTAGCAATAATCATACAAAAACCTCTTTTTAAAATCCACATCCTAGGACACAAAATTATACTTGGTGTTGCTCATGATTTTATATAAATAAAATTTTTAATTAATTTCAATATTGAGCAAATTATAATAATTTCATTTTCTTCTATGACTCTTCACAGGTTTGCATGAGTGTGGATACTTTAAAACATACAACAGACATATACTTAAAGTACTATTATTATCTTTATGCTTTAATTTATGTTAAATGTAAATAAAATTGATTTACATAGATTTTTACCCAAGTTTCTCATATTTTATAACCTTTTGATTTTTTGGACTAGATGTTCCAAAAGAAACATTACAATTTTAAGTGTCTACATCGAGATATAAACTACTCTTTAATTTATTATTTTGATTTGCTGTTCTTTCCGTGACACTAGTTTGATAAACTGAGCTTTCTAGATGTTCACAGTGTTCTCAAAAACTTCATTCTGTTTCTTACCTCATAAAACTCACAAATATTTACCAAGGCACTACTACAGCTGAGGGGAAATTTTCAAAAATCATGCAGAACAACAGCTTGCTACTTAAACATCAATTATTGGATTCTGACAACATGAAGAGACAGGCTTTGAATTCTATTTCTAATAACAAAGAGGTTGTCACAGAAAACTCTAGAGTCATGATAGCTTCATGGTTGAGAGCAAATGCTCTGTGTTCTGATCCCATCTTCAGCTCATATTCATTCTGTAACCTTAAATAGATTATCAAACCCTCTTTGTCACAGGTTTTTTCTTCTGTAAAATAGAGATGTGCATATCCCCTTGTAAGTATTATTTGCCTCGTATGGGAATAAAATGAAATAGTACAAAGATGGGGCTTAGATATGCACCCACCATACAGAAAGCACTGGTTATTGACAATAGCTGAGGTTTTGACATACATTATCCCACTTAATTTCAGTGACCCAAAGAGAAGGTCCTGATATCATTTCTACCATGTCAATGATGAAACTGAAGGATGACGGTTTAAACATCTTTTCCAAAATCACATTAGTAAAGATTAGTCAGAGAAAAGACTGGGCAAACAGAGGGACTCTCCCAGTCAGCACACAGCACGGTGTACATACAGAGGGAAGGAGGGAGATGAGGGTATCCTTGGAGGTAAGGCCAGATGTGAAGGCTTTGTGCCAGTCCTGGGCCTTAGACTTTGCTTGGTAGGTGATGCAGAGCTAGAGAGAACTTCCAGCAAAGGGAATCCAATGTCAGATTTGAATCTCAGTGTTGAGGATACTGAACTCCAGCTCCCTGACCATGGCTCTTTTTTTTGACAAATTGACCTCACTTTCTGAGAAAAAGAAACTCTTTTCAAATTGAATAATTGAGACACTTCATTATCCTCTTCTACAATATGAAAAGTTTCCATTTAGGTAGTCAGGATTCATTATGCAGACCCAATGTGTACCCAGATTTTCTTGAAAATTTTAAATTATAACTATTCTATCAAAATGAAAATATGAACTCCCTAAAAATTTCAGAAATGTTAAATCTAAATTACGTTTTGGACTGTATCCTGAGACAGAATATAATCTTTTGTTAGAATATGAAATCTGATTTGGGCCAATAGATTTTGGCCAATTTAGAAGTAATATCTTTTCTATGGAGATCTGAAGGCCAGTGATTTTGGAAAACTAAAAGCTTAAAGCCAACTTGTCATAGATTTCCTTCTTCTTCATTTGACAGTTACATGTTCTATTCACCATTTTTAACTGAAATTCCTCATCTTAGATTTCATAATTGTAACTTTGTTTTCATATTCTGTCCAAGACTCAACATGTATAAAATTTCAAAAGTCTAATACCAGAATAAACAAGAAAAAGAAGTCGCTGCTTAACAAATAGTTCCTATTAACCACTTTTTAAAAAATGACTCATCAGCTAGGTAATATCATATGACAAAGCTGAATGCAAAATATTTCAAAGCATGTACACTAAAATCCCATTTTACTTATTACATTCTCCCCACTGAGGGGAAATCATTCTTCTGATTTTCAGACAGTAAAAACAGGCAAATCTCTCATCTCCCAGAGTAGGACTCTTGGTTGCACCACAGGACAATTCAACAATGCTCATTTGTCATTCAATCTTCTTGGAATTCATAAATTTAATACATGGACATTAAATAATGTTTGAGACAATCTGTATACAGCAAATGTGATTTCTTTTAATCAGAAAGAAGGGCGCTTTTTCAAACTTGTTGTGTCAAGAATTACAAATCAAACCCCCAGCAGGCAACTTTCAGATACCCTGAGAACAACACTTAAATAAGCAAACATTTCTAGCAATGGTACCTAAGGAATGATCTCTAGTCAGGGAAACTGGAATACTCACGAACACAGGGCCCCATATCGGATAGCCTGTGTACAAGGTGAAGTAAGAGTACTGCTCAAAGAGTTGGAATATGCCTTGTATGGCACCCAGAAAAACACCCACAACCAGAATTATTGCTCCACTCAGGATCTCCAGGGTCTGTGAGAAGGGAAGCAAAAAAAGCACAGTGGTCATATATGAGTGCATACTGAGAACAGATTATTTTTATTTTCTTCTGAAAGGAGATCTCAGTGCTTGAAACAGTTACATTTTCAAGCCTAATCTAACAGGCAGGTGCTCTCTCTGGAGGTTTTGTTTCATGCTGTTTCCACCAATCTAGGTGCCACCCCTAATCTTCACCTCACCCCAACTTCTGTCCATTCTCACCAACTCCTTAAAGAATTTGAAGAAGGGGAAGAGAGATCTGGCTGATAACACAGATTGAGTCAAACTATCTCCCACGTGCTTTCGGGCCACAGTATGATGGAGGCAGGCACACGGTGACCAGCATTCCCCTCAGCCTTCCCTCAATCCAATTTCTTAATTTAAAATATGGAGTATGAGTTTCCAGAGCTCAGCCTCCTGAGCTGAACGCAGAGTCCATTCTCCAGTGTGATGTGAAAGGGTGTTTTCTACCCTGAGATTATGCCTCTGCATTTCCACTTCCCAGGACTAGAAGATGCCCCAGTCTTTCCTTAAGGGAGCAATATTTTTGCCTGGGAGCTGAGTGACTCAGATGGTCCTCCTGCCAGGCATGAACAAGATTTTCCACATGATATTTTATCCACCTTGAACCAAATTTTTAACTAGGGCTGACTTACCCCAAGAGCTAGTAGTTCTTTTTCGGAGGCCATCTGGGGTTGTTGATGACTGTCATGGAAGAGAAATACAAAGCTCTGAAGTTTTTCCTTTTACAACTAGCTAATATTCCTTGAGTTCCTCAAAGGGGTTCAGTTCTCCCCATATACCAAAATGACTCTCA